CCTGATGATACACCGAAAAAAAAAAAAACGAAGTTGGGTGAAGAAGAAGAAGAAGAAGAAGAAGAAGAAGAAGGCAATGAGAATGAGAAGAAGAAGAAGAAGGCAATGAGAATGAGAAGAAGAAGAAGAAGGCAATGAGAATGAGAAGAAGAAGAAGAAGAAGAAGAAGAAGAAGAAGAAGAAGGCAGTGAGAAGAAGAAGAAGAAGAAGAAGAAGAAGAAGAAGAAAATTAGGGCGAACTTCACAATGGCCGACGAATTTCCGAGAAAAAAAAAAAACAAGAAGAGGTAGAGGAAGAAAAAAAAGAAGAAGAAATTTAGGGCAAACTTGACAATCTGCGATTTCCCGAAATGAGAAGAGTAGTTGTAGAAGAAGAAGGAGAAGAAGAAGAAGAAGAAGAAGAAGAAAGAGAATTGGAAAATTAGGGCAAACTTGACAATGTGCGATTTTTCGAAATGAGAAGACTCGAAGAAGAAGAACAAGAACAAGAACAAGGAGAAGAAGAAGAAGATGAAGAAGAAAAAGAAGAAGAGAAGAAGAGAAGAAGAAAATTAGGGCGAAGTTGAAGAAGAAGAAGAAGAAGAAGAAGAAGCTCTTCTCTCCCAGCCAGCGGCTGCCAATGTCTGTCACGCATACACTGATCAGTGGAGGCAGAAAGCGGCAGCCTTTCTTGAACGTCGCAGAGAACAACCTCGGAGCTGCAGCCTTGTCTCCCGCACCATGGCCAAGTCTCCCTGCTACGACCAAGCTGCCCACACTCTTCTCACCCTGCCTGAGCAATGCAGCTGCCCACGCTCATGGCTGCCCACACACACGGCTGCCCACAAATGCCACGGCAGTAGAATGGGAAGAGTGTGGGCAAGCACACTGTTTGTACTGCCGCTGACCAGGGAAAAGGCAGTGTCGACGGTCGGCGGCCTCCCAGGCCGTGCCCCGATCGGCCGACCCCCCCAGTACCGGCCCAAAACACAAAAAACGGGCCTTTGGGGTGGGGGTGGCCGCCGCACAAAAATGCGCCAGGCCAACCCCTCCGATCGGTCGGCGCCGACGGCCAAAACGGTCGGAGGGTCGGCGGCCGACCGACCGAGGCCCGCCGACGGTCGGCATGTGCAACCCTGAATAAATTACTATTAATCATCAATAGTCACAGATTTGTCAGTGCTACAATGGTAAATGTGCCTGCTAACGCAAGTGTGCGTACCTCGATGCTCATTTGGCAGTAGGTCGTTGCGTTTGGTATGCATTGACCTGATTGTTTACCCACGCTATCCCGGTTTCATTTCAATCAGTTCACCGCTTATCCCCACCTATCGCGATGCTCCGTTCTTTTTTTTTTATTGAATCATTCGATAACCATGCACGTGACCTGCCTGCTCATCCTCACCCTCCATCCATCCATCCCTGCCAACCCAGCACCCATCCGGTCTCTTCCTGGCCCCATCGCTCGTGTCCATTCGGCCCCGGAAATCCTTGACTGGTCTGTGCCGCTCTGTCTGCCTGGCTATCCTCACCCTCCATTCGTCCATCCCTGCCCATCTACCACCCATCCCGTCCGTTTCTACCCCCATCCAGGCTGTCCGATCACCCATGGGAATCCTCAATCCGTCCATCCCAATCCCCCTGCTAGCCATCCTGACCCATCCCAACTCATCTCGGTCCCTTCGCTCATCCTATCAATGGAAGTACACTCTCTCTCTCTCTCTCTCTCTCTCTCTCTCTCTCTCTCTCTCTCTCTCTCTCTCTCTCTC